AAGGAAGAAGAGAAAGAAGGAGTAAAAGCCCTGATGCATTTTACTAGGGATTGAACCCAGGGGTGCTCTACCACTGAGCTATATCCCCAGCCCTTTCTAAACTAAAAATTCTGARACAGGGTCTTGCTGAATTGTCCAACATGGCCTCACACTTGTGATTCTCCTACTTCAGTCTCCTGAGTAGCTAGGAATACAGGTATGCACCACCACATCGGGYCTATAATACTTTTTAATTATTATTTAAGAGTATATACTTTTTTTAAAAAATTTAGAGTAAAACAGTATGCTGTGTTATGTCAGAAGTAGCCTCATATATCTAGTGCTTACTGAATCTCGATTGCATCATTTTCTCCTGTGCTTAATTTGATGGCCCTAGGAGTGAAAGACTATAATATATATATATATATAAAAACCAGCCTCTATCTCAGAGCACCAGTTGCTGTGTGTGCGTGTGGAGGACCGAGCTAGCTCGCAATAAACATCTCTTTGCTGTTTACATCGATCTTGGGTCTCTGGTAGTCTTTGGGGGTTCCGAATTCGAGCATAACAATACACACACACACACACACACACACACACACACACACGTACACACTTACTTACACACACACACACACACACCCCTATACACATACACATACACGCACATACCATATAGTCCAGGTGTGTAGCAGCTACACCAACTATATTTGTGTAAGCACACTCTATGATGTTTGTACAACAATAAATCTCTTAAGGATTCATTTCTTGGAACATATCCCTGTTGTTATACTACAGTTTTAATGCCATTATGGTGGAAGCCAGAGTAGGAATATTTACCCCAAGGCATCAGCAAATGTTACAAATTTGGCCTTTTTCATGTAAATTTTTTCAATTGGCAATTTACCAGAACACTACTGTATCCTGTAAACATTTGATGCTGTGAATGAGACATTCAAACCAGAGATCTAGCTACTGTTGGGTAAAAACCAGGATGCACACTTGTATTGAGGGAGTGCTGAATTTTTAAAAATAGTCAAGAAAATTAAAAATACATGGAAATTGTTTTTCAGTGCTGGGGATCAAATCTATGGTCTCTTATATGGTAAGCAAGCATTCGATCACTGAGCTACATCCCARCTCTCATTTTAAATGTTTAATAAGAGGTTTCTGATTTAGAGTTTTGATTCTAAATTTCCATATGTATTTTTTGGAAATGTTATTTTGGTAAAGATTTTATATTTAAAAATAGGAATATGCATGGGGTGTGATTACAGTGGGCCATTTCAAAGGTAACCATAAAAATATGTACTAATTCTACCAAGTCTCAACAGATTTTTGAGAAGTATAATAAATGTACAAATGTTTGTAAAAATTATACAAAATTTCTAAGAATTGCTGAGCTCATGCAAGATCCTCAAACTATACTTATGAAAGTTAAGATGAAACATGCCTTACCTGAATTCATCCCCAGACAATTTATGTGCAGACTGCAATAACAACTGAATGAAGTTTTCTAGCTGGGGAATAGATGTCCTCGTAGCACAATTTTCAAACCATTTTTCTGGTAGACATACTACTATCTGTTAATTAAAACACATGGCTGGTTTATGATAATGATAATTTTCTAAGGACTCTTGCTAACATAATCTCACAGTAATTATGCAAGTTGAGTATTATTCTTCCCATATTATAGTTTGATTCAATAGTTTGAAAAATTTTGGAAAATTTTGGAAAATTTCCTTTATTTTGTGAAAGGTCATATGCCATTTAAAAAAATCATTCTTTATTGCTAAGAGCTTAAAACAGACTACTTTTATGAATGTTTTCTAGAGGTGCTTATAATTCTTTCCATACTTGGGTATTCCTGGGATAAAAAATCCACATAAAACATAACTTACAACTAACAACCACAATGCCTAGACATAAGATACTTTCAGTTAACCTAACTATGTTTCACCTAGTAYATGATCTACATAAACAAATTAGAGTTAAGGAATCAAATGAGTGATTCTAAGATATACAGGGTGAAAGAAAAATTAATTATGCTTTGATAGTCTACTAATCTCATACATTGCTTTAAATGTCCATGGAAGCAAAATGAATCAATGCAGTGCATTCAATTGTTCTTTTGGAATAAACAACAACAACAAAAAATGGCATTTTATAATCATCCTCCTGAAGGTAATGCATGGTTTGGGAAAGCTTTAGTAAAGTTAGCAAAATATTTAAAAATTAAATAAAAGGATTTATGTGTGGCTCCGTGGCACAGTGCTTGCTTAGCACGAGTGAGGCACTGGGCTTAATCCTCAGTGCTTGGTGAAAGGAGTGGGGGAAGGGAGGAGATAAGAGAAAAATTAAAATGAACCAAATATTATAATATATGTTCAATAAAAATTCCCAAAAATACCTTCTAAAATAAATACGGCTGGTCAGAATTAAATACTTAGTTAAAAAAAAGCAGATGTGTATGCGCTGAGGTACGTGTAGCCCAGGTGTGGAGCACATGCTTCATGTGTGTGAAGCCCTGGGTTTGAACTYCAGCAGCAGTAATAGTAACAACAAAAAATCCTAAAAAATTATGGATGAGGAAAAAGATTTATTGTATTCCTTAATGACCTTCTTCAATTACTGAGAAAAAAAGGCAGACACTTAGTTAACTGAAAAAGGCCAAAGGTCCTATAAAATTTTACACAGACTACTTTTTTCAAAAGTTTCAAAACTGGTTTGGAATTTAATAC